GTGTGATCGACAGGCAAACAAGCAAAGCTAACATACAACGTTGGACTATGATTATTATATATGTGAAAGAGGTTTCCGAATTTTGTAACGAGCGTATTGTGAGAACAATTTTGCAAATTCGTTAGTGGGATTAAATAATAGATTTTGCTATAATTTATAACTTAAAATTATTTTAAAAATTCCAAGTAGAAAATGTGCTGAATTCTCTTGTAATATAAGGAATTTTGCAACATTTCTTTCATATTATGAAATATGTCATATCAAATTCTGCTATAAATCAAATTAGAAATATTGACAAATAAGATATAATATATGTACTTTTATTTTTAAAAACAATATCTGCAAATTTTATATTAAATGATATCAAGAAAAGTTGAAAAAACTCACAAGGAATGTATTAACTTTCTAATTTTTATTGTTAATTTGAGCTTTATTAAACTTTACCAAATTTGCCAGGTGAAATTTTTGCAATGTATTTTCATTAAAGCATAATATAGCGTATAGCCAATTTTCGTGGAAAATATATTAAATTTTGTCACAAAAGAAAATTGTTTTATGTTCTATGAAGAATTTTATTAAAAAAAATTGCTAAATTGAGCTACGTGTCAATAGCACTTACTCATATTTCAAATGTTTCAATAGAAATTGAAAGTTGATTGTAAATTTAAAGTAAAACTTCCAAACATGCGTTCAAGTAATATACATAAAATAACTTGGGCGTACTGAAAATTTCGCTGAAATTTACAATATACCCCAAGTACGCTGAAAAAGTAAAATTTTGAATTAAAAGTAAGCATTAATTTTGTTAAATTCATTGAATTATTTTATTTATGTATAAATCATTTCGGTAATATAGCAGTTTTTTACATTCTAAAATAACAAAATCTAACTATAACTTAATATTTAATTAATTATTTCGATTAAATATTTTAAAAATTATTATTTTCGATTCCAACGGGTGGAAGCAATGTCATTTTAAGGCAAACATCATCAGCAGATTCCACGGGACGGCAGTACATAAATAATGACATTTTAATTGTTAACAAATTGGTATGGTTCTCTAATGGTGTCTGAATGAAATAAAAATGAAAATATTAAAATTGTTATTAAATATAAATACTTATATAATAAATATAAATAACTTACTTAAAGAAACTGAAAAAAGCTTTTCCAAACACCAATTTTCCATGACGTCTAAAAGCGCATCATTTCAAGACCGTTTATATAAAAAATATATTCTAAAACAAAATTTAATTTTTTTTATTAAATTAAATAATTATATTTAGATTTTACTTTTATTAAAGTTTTACACATATTTATTATTAAACAATCATATTTAATTTGACTAAGCATGGCAGCTATAAATAACATAAGTTACGATACAAAAATGTTGTTACAGTTATAACTTTGGAGAAAATTTATCATAATTTCCTTGAATAACTATAGAAAGGAAATGCAAGCTTTTGAAACATAGCTAAAACTGCCATTTTTTAAAATTGAATTTGCTATTCTGTATTTGCAAATAATATTATAGTGATTAATTGGTATTTTACTACACAACCGCAACGATGCCTGATATTTTACTATGGTAAAATTTGCAATGTTGCAAGGAACATTTCGCTACTAAAACTTTTGAAATGCCACATGTAGCATTTCATATATCAATAACATAAGATGCGATATCTTTTTTTTGTGTTTTCATCGAAGGAAGGAGGAAAGCATGAATGCTACTAACATGACATTCCCTGGCAACCCATAGTTAGTTATGCTTTACCACAAAAACCTCCTCCTTATACTCTGATACTAGTCCCCTTAGGCTTACCATGAAATTTTTTTTAATATAGATTGAAAGATATTTAACGCTCTCCTATTTGGTGAAGCGCATTCTGCGCTAAATCAGAAGGCAAAGTCCTCTTTAGCCTACTAGGAGAATCGCGGATAATAAGGAGCCGAGAGGCCTTCTTGTTCTTGATCAACATTGATTTTAAGTTGATTATTATTCATCATGTTGATCCTAAAGTTTATTTTGGCTTCTTTTACCATCTTCTATATTTTTGGGTATTCCTCCACATTGCTTAATATAACAGGAGGGGATTCGATTTTTCTTGTAGTGTTTGATCTTTCTTGTAGTGCATTTATATGCCTAGATTTTTTTATTTCGCTTACCTTGTCCTCAGGACTTATTTCAGGTGACATATCTGCTCTTCGCTTTTTGCTCTTTCTCTTGAGAATCCAATCGATTTCCTGACCCAGATCCTCCTCGTCTCTGCAGTATTCTATTTTGTTTGTCGCAATTTTTTCCGTATTTATTTCTTGTATTGTATTTATATTGCTTGATTCTAATTTTAGCTTTTTATTTTATATCTGAGATACTTGATCTCATTTTTTAATTTTGTACAAGGCGCTTCTAGCTCACTTATTCTTATATTTAAGTGGCAGTTAGCAGTTTTCTGATCTTTTATTTCATTAACTGCATCCATATTGGTATTTATCTCTTTGTCGCCTTTAGACATATTTTCTTTGCATTTACCACATGGGGGTGTCCGCATTACCCGAGGTGTTCTTTTAAAGGGGGAGGTAGTAGTAGTTTGATGCTATAAGTGGTCTCCCCCAGAATCCGTGAGACTGGATTTCCAAATTTACTGGATTACCACCTGGGGTATAAAATCCTTTTGTTTTGTTCATTGCATTGATTTGGTTTTATTTCGGAGTTTACTTCTCCTACCATTTGGCAATAAATACCTCGTGCAAGGCAGCACGCCTAATTTCTGCCGTCCCTCAGTAATCAGTCGCAGACCAGACAGCCGTCCATTCTGTATGAGACGCTTCTGGATTTGTGCTAAATTTTAGTGGACTCTTCCCACAAGCATTCCTACTGCGGGTATTTCGCATCCCCACCCGCCGGGAAGAGTTGCGATATAAAATTGCTAATTTAGTTAAAACTTATATTTATATATTAATTTATTTATATAATATAGATATTTATATAATAAATGATAATTTATTATATTTAATTTCTAAAGGTTGAATTATTAATTTCAAATTGTCTTTTAAAATTATTACAAACTTACACTGTTTTCTTTTGCAAAAAAACTGATTTTTAGCAAGTATAAATTTTTTGAAAATAACTTTAAGATTTCTTCTAAATTTATTGAAAATTATATCGTGATTATATTTAGATGGAAAATTATAACAAGCTCTGGATTTAAATCTTAAAAAAAGAAATGTGCTTCTTTATAAACCATGGGTTTGTATTATAATGTGTTTTCAAATGATCAAACAATACTTCTTTATTGAAGTGACATTGCATTTTATTTTCAATATTGAATAATATTTTTGAAATTCAAACGCTTCACACCTTTGACCCAAATAAAAGATGTATAAAATTTCTTTATATGCCTTTTCCTTGGATAAAAGTGAAAATTTATGTTCATATTTATGAACTATAATAATTTGCCCGCCGCTATCACATCATTTTATATTTTTTGTGCTTCTTTTCCAAAAAAGTATAACACTCTTTACTACTCCATAGTTGTTAGAAATATTTGAAATTTTGGACACGGTTTTGTATAGAAATCCAGTTACATATATGGTAGTAAAAGAAAGCCTATAACTTCCTATTTTAAAAAGTTTATATTTAGTTAAGTTTTAATAGTAATCTATGTTGATGATTCGATGTTTATTTTCCATACAAATACGTTATATGAATCCATCTACCGGAATAAATTTGCGAACTACTCCTTTTTAGCAAGAAAAAACATAAAAGAAAATGTGAAATGCGATGGTATTTGAAAAGTTATACACCTGGAATATTATCCGTGACTTAAATAATGCCTTATAAAAAGTTTAAGTACGGTATTAATACGGTTGTAGTACCGTCTCAGAGCTTTCAATACCTTAACATTGTAAAAAAAACTACTAAAGCATTTCGTACATTTTGGAATACAATTTTTACAACATACTTTGACGTTTGTTTGAAAACTTTAATTTAAAGTTCTATGTAAATGTTAATTTTTTGCAAATGTTACTACATCATCAAAAACGTAGCATTTTTATGCCGCATTTTAGGTAAAAAACTTAATAACTAGCGTTTTATTGCTGAAAATGAATGCTAGCTTATTTAATTGGTTATTTCTGGCAACATTTATATGATATGTATAAGAAAAGCGTGCTCGATATTTTTTATACCCGATTTACGTTTATTTTACGTATCCACTACATATAGAACGCATTTTGGAAAAGTGTACAATATCAAGAGATTTTACTAAATTTTTTGGAATGTGATACTTTGGAAACTTTAGTTTACGTCGTAAGCGCATTATTGAAGTCACGGTATATATAAGTTAAGAATAAGATATGTACGTTATGTATATACTCTTAAACGGAGCGCTAGCACTAAAATCTTATTTAAAGCTATAAAAATATATACATATATAAAATGCATTTCTGTAAATATGTACATACATACTTATATATATTATAAAAATACATATTTGTATAAGTACTCTCTTTTATGAATTATTAAGTTTTAATTTTTGTTAAAATTGTATATAAACTATACATAAATATACATAACTATATAAATAAATTTAATAAAGGGAAGTTTTTTAGTGTAAGACTTGTCGTTGAAAGTTTATATAATTTTGACGTTCTAAATAGCTTTAATATTAAGAAGAATTTTAGATTTTTTTGAAAACAGATCTTTTACATTCTGGGGGGCGGGGGGGGGGGGGGAATTAAATCTCACTGTCAATTAAAATTATAACTTTAAGAAATAAAGTATAAAAAAAAATACTTTAAGTTTAATTTTTTGGGATCTTTTATAGATGTAATTTCTTTTTTATTAAAAATAAGAGTGTAATATTTCCCTTTAATTGTGTGATGTAAAGTCCTGATGCGTTGAAAAGGGACAGCAAAAAAATAATTTTTGTTTTAGCTTTTTTTCCTTCTGTGTAATTTTCGAGTTTTAAATTAAAATTTCACTAATTTTTAATATCAAATTTATTTGGCACATTTTCAAAATATTTAACTACATATTACAATGAATTTTGCATTTAACTTTTTATTTTCTTAAACGTTTTTGTAAATTTTTAAAATATTTTTTTAATTTATTTTTTTATTCTAATAATTACCTAAGAATAATTCACATACAACATCATAATTATTAAATAATGAACAAAATTTCACATATGTGTTGGTCTTTTGAGTTAAAATATACTTTTTCAAATATAATGAACGGGAACTAATTAAAAATTAAAGTTAATTCTAACATTACATGGACATAAATACACATAAATAGAACATGAAAAAAAAATTAATTAAATGATATATTTTTTTCAATTTTATAATACACACTATTTCCCTGTAAAACGTCCCATAAAATATATTTCACCGAATTTTCCTCTTATAAAATACAAAAACGATTGATTTACTTTGAACGGTTCATCTTCAAATTCTTTAGCATCTATATCAGTATTAGTAGGTGCAGCAGATTCAATACCATTCTCATCAACATCCAAAATAGATTTATGAAAAACTTTTGAAAGTTGAATTGGATCAGTTGAATTTAATAATAGCGAAAAATTAGCATCCGATGTGAACATGTCATCCATACCCATCTATATTTTAGTGTGAAAATGTAATAATGAGATTAAATAAATTTTATTAACATAAAATTAGGGACAAATTGTGTTTATGAAATATATTTCAGTTCAAACAATGAAGCAATGTTTAAGAACTTAAGGTTTTGAAATGATAAATTCATAATAGATAATACTTATATATTTAAGACATTTAAATTATTTTCAAAAATTGATTTAAAAAAAATTAAATTTACATTTTTAAATACTTGTTCCATGTCAATTTCGGATTCAATTTTAAATTTAGGCATTATGATATGTCTGGTCTCTTTACGTCCAGTTTTATTAAAAACCAAATCCTTCAATAATAATCGTGTTAATTTATCTTCAATTTGTTTTAAACTAATTTCTGATGATGATGGCAATAATATTATTAATGAAATATCAGTTTCTTGAAAATATAATTCTGCTACTTTAATATTAAGTTCTTTATGATTTGCTGATTTGAATTCAATTAATCCATGCATCATATCTAGCTTTATAATTTCACCAGGTTCACTAACAAAATCTTCTTTTTTAGTTTTATCTTTGTCAAATTTTTTTAACCATTCACCTTTAAAATGAACAACGTTTAGTAATAATAATCGAGTTAGTTCATTTAAATCCCCAGTTTTTACTAGATTTTGAATTTTTCCTTCTGTTTTTCTTGCAACCCAATCATTTATTGAATTAGCTGCTATTAAAGAATTTTCATTAAATTCGATACTTTCAATTTCTGCACTGTAAAATCTTGTTATAATATCTTGGAATGTTGGTGCAATAGAATAATTTTTTTGTACATAAATTTTAGTGCCACCTTTAAACATTGGACTTTTTTGCATTATATCAACAAATCGCTTATAAATATCACCTAAAACGTTTGTATCATGAGTGGGAAAATGTAGCCCTTCTTCGATTTCTTCCGCGGTGTCACCATCAGTACCAGCATATAATGCAGCTCCAGCACTTTGAATTGAATATGGTGAGAATACTAAACTTTTCCCTCGATTGGATTGTGGTCTTATTAATTGGCTGTAAAAATTAACTGTAAAATTTTGATTTTCTTTTAAAAAATCAACGTATCTTGTTGAAGGTACAAAACTATAATACGATTCAGGATTGATGTTAGCTATCAAGTTTAACATAAAAATTCCTGTAAAAACTAAAAAAATTTTTATTAAAATTAAATATTTCTCTAATTTTAAATTATTGAAATATTTAAAAAAAAAATTAAAAATTTCTATAAACCTGATAATTTTGTCATTTTGAGTAAAATTTGAATATGAATTTTATGCACAATGCGAATGGATTGGATTTTAAATACTGACTACTGATATCTAACATTATTTTTGATCATAATACTTTTTTTTATAATTCTCATATTAATTTATTCAAATTTTGAACATGTATATGTATGTACATATGTTAGGTCTTGATGAGAAGATATAAGTGTTTTTATTTTTTGCATAAATATATAACATAACTATGTTTATTTGTATGAGTGTATATCAATTTAAATATGTGAAATAACTGAAAAAATATGAGTATAAATCAATAAATTATAATTTAGAAGAAAGTTTTAATTTTGAAAAGTAATAGCAAGGGCCGGTCTAACTTTCAATTTTGTGGCTTTGGTTTTGTTCTGCGTGTGTCAAGGTGTTAACTGGTGTTTAAGGTGTCAGCAACTGGACGCCAAATATACATTTTTGCATATATAAATAGAAATAATCAATCGAATAATCAATAGAAATTGAAATTTAATATTTAAATTCGAGGTGGTTAATACAATGAATCTATAATTTGTTTGGAAAGATCAGGGCTTGGGAATTGATTTGTGGACCGATTTTACATTTTCGACCATATCTACGGAACGGATTGATGGAATTTGTTGAAATTTAATATTTGAGTTCTGGTTGATACCAGAAGCTACTGACGAAATTTTCGTATAATTCGGATAGACAATATACGTTGCGGTCGGTTTCCTGTTGACCGCATTAGATCTAATTGTATTTGTATTACATTTTTACTTATTTGATATAGGTGGGTTTGGAAAAGATTTTATATAAAATTATATAAAATAATTATTATATAGTACAAAAAACAGCAATGCAAAAAAATGCATATTAATTTTCATTCTTTACGAAAGATTCTATGAAAGATATAATTATTAAATTTCAAAACTTTTTTCAGATGAATAATTTCCAATGAAAATCTTTGATAACGTCACAACATTTTATGATCATTATCGATCGCTAGATTTATCATACAAATTTTATACACAAAATAAACTTCAAGCTGTAATTAGAAAAGATATAATATTATTTTTACCATCAAATTAAGCAACACTTTTTTATCAAACTTTGAGTGTTTAATTTTAATTTAACTTTTTGATTTAATTTGACTTGAAAATTTATTGTTATGATTCGTTTCAATACGATTCTGTTTTTTATATTATAAGGAATATTATAGGTTTTCTTAAAATGAAAAGGAAACCGTTATAATATTATATTTGTGATAGTAATGATGTAACAAACGCTGAGGTTTGTGAGAGCTTTAATTTTAACTGTAACAAAGTAATCGAATATCGGAAATTTTTTATAGTGCTGTAAGAGGTGCTTTTATCGTACTCCCCAAATTAGCGCCAAAAGTAGTATTCTTTTATGGACAATGAATTTTCGCTTAATTTATTCTGCTATATAAAATGTCCTATGTAAATGAACAAATTCAGAAAATAATTAAAAATTACAACTGTGTCAAAAGTTTAAAACTAAGATAATTGTTAAACAAAAGACAATGTTTCTAAATCTTCCAACTTTTTATGTGTTTTTTATTTATTTTGGTCACAACCTATAGTTTGATCAACTTATATTTTGTATTATATGCGATATAATACATATGTATGCATGTAAATGAAAACAAAATTTTTAATTATTTTATTTTTTAATTTTAAATACAAGCAAATTCTTACATGCGTGTTCTTTATGCATACTACGTAAAGGTAATAGTGTATTTATTTTTAAAAGCCACATTTTTCAAATATAAATACATAATCATTTTTAAATTGTAAGATTTTAAGGGAAAGCAAAATATTATTTTCCGGTAAATCGTCCCATAAAATAAATTTGACCATCTGAACTTTTTATGAAATACATGAATGATTGATTAACATGAAAATTTAATGGACCGCTTTTTTTTATGAAACCATGAGCTGTTCCTGCTGAAGCTTCAGCACCTTCTTCATTAACTTCAATTATGGCCTTATGAACTGCTTTTGATAATATCAACTTTTCGTTATAATTTGCTAATAAATTTTTGAAGCTTGCTTCAGAACTAAACATTTCTGTCATTCCTAACTGAAAATAAAGAAAAAATATTAATAATTTACTAAATCTAATAATTTTTCATTTGAAATTAAGTTTGGTTTTGGTTTTGTACTTACGTTCTTAAAAGTTGATTCCATATCTATGGCGGTTTCGATTTGGAATTTTGGAATATATAAACTTATTTTTATGTTACGTGTTGTATCAAATAAATCTTTTTTTAAGTCAATTGAATTTAATTTATTTTCAAGTATATTTAAACTTTCATTTTTGTAAGCCGATGAAACTAAAAATATTGATAAATTGGAATTTTTAAATGGTATATCAATGGCTTTTAATCCAATATCATTTATAAATGTCACATTAAAGTTGGATAAAATATGCATTGTATCGACTTCTATAATTTCATCAGGTGTTACATAAAATTCACGTTTTTTTGTATGGTTTACATTAAAAAGCTCTTTCCAAATTCCTTTAAAGTGAATTGTATTTAGTAACATAAATTTGGTACTGGAATTTAGCGAATCAGGTTCTATTAAATTTTTAATCTTTTCATTTGTTTTATCGCAGACCCAGTTATTAATAGTATTTGCAGCTTCATTACTTCTTCCAAAATTAATATTTTCTATATCAGAATGAAAACTTCTTACCGCTGTATCCTTATAATTATGCGAAATTGTGTAATCATTTTGTATATAGATTTTATTGGCAATATTAAGTATTTTATCTTCTAAATTTAATTTTTTTACTGCTTCATGAAAATATTGACCCAATTGCTTTGGGTCTTTTAATTTAAAATTAAAACCATTTAATATTTCACTAGCTGTTTTACCATCAGCTCCAACATATAATAATGCACCAGCAATTTCAATAGAAAGTGGTGAATAAACCAAACTTTTGCCATTGTATTTTGGTTGTGTTATGAGTTCACTATAAAATTTTTTTGCAAATATTTGACTTCCTATTATAGAGTCGATAATATTTTCATTTGATTTTGATACTCTTATAAACGTCAATAAAATTGTAAATAGTAATTGAGCGCCTATAAAAAACAACATTTAATTTATAAAATCTAAATAGTATATTATAAATATAAAATAAGTTTATATATTTTGAGTAATATAATATAAATTACAATGGTTTTTAAAATTGTTGTTTAATTTAGGTGAATTTATTATTGTAGTTTTTTAATTCTACCTTTGCTTATTATCATTTCGACTAAAAAATATTTTATTAAAAATATAGAATTTGCAACAATTTCTTTTAAAATCTGAGAATAAACTAAATTTAATATATTTCTTGGCAAATATAATATATAAACATATACTAAATGTATACAAAAATTTATTGAAGGTATAACTTTAAAAATATGCACACGTATACATATGTGTAAATACATTGGTTGTTAAAACTTATAGACATAATAATTTTCAATAACTTTTATTAATGAGAAAAGCTATTTATAAAAAACAAAACGAGTTTTTAATACTCATATGAAATGTGAAATAAGTTTCTACACTGAATGACAAAAAAACAGAAAATTTTAAAATAAAATGCGATATTTATATTCTACTATTTTTTGCTATTATTCAAATAATATGTGGACACAATATAATACTGAAGTAGTTCATAATCATACCTCGAAGGACAAGGGAAGGGCAATTGAATTTGCAGTATTAAAATAATGAACATATAAATTTTTTAGAACGATCAGGGCTCGGAATGGGAGCTAGGGACCAAATTTAAAATTTTTATCATATCTATAGAACTAATTGATGGAATTTCTTGAAATTTTATACTTGAGTTCTGGTTTTTACCGCAACTAACTGGCGAAATTTTGGGGAATTCGGGTGGCACAAATCTAAATTGTACTAAGAGCCAAATTTACATTTTTCCAGGCACGTTAAGTAAAAGCTTACTGAAGCCCTAAAAACTGGAAAGAAGTATTTAAAAGCAATTTTTATAATCTTCTGTAACACTTTCACTTAACTATATAATAAATTTGAATTTTTAGCTTGTTTTTTAAACATATTTACCACGTTTCACTGGCGAAACTATAAGAGATTAAGGAAAATTTTATATGGGTTAACTTTTAAATTTCATTGTAACGGATTGAAAAAAAAACATAAACTGTCGAGAAATTTCGAGGTTTTTAAAAAAATTTTCAAGAAAAAACAAACTCAGATTTTGACGAGCTTTATCTCGAAAACTATGGCTGACATCAAATTGTATTACAGTTATGAAGAGATCCATTTAATTTAAATCAGGTGCCTCTGATAAATGCAAAATTAAAGGATTAAATTTTAGCTAATTTTTGTTCTTTGGGAAGAGAATGTGAAATTGTTGAAACGATATAAAAATTGCTCGTGAAGTTAATAATTTATTCTTTATTTATACATACAGGGTAATTAAGAATGGTATACAAAAGCATATACCGTTAGTTAGAGGATCAAAAATGGGTAAAACTTTTGTTCAGGAGTGGGTGACAAACCTCAATGGTTTTCGTGAAATAGGGATTCTAACGAACTTTCAAGAATATTCTTCTTGTCCAAATTTATTTCCTTATAACTTTCGTTCTTCAAACAAACAATTTTTGAGAGGGCTAGTAAAGGACTTAAAGTCAGAATAACATGGTTTTTGGTATTTTATTTACTTTCGGAAGCGCAAGCATTCGAACTTTAGAAAAATTTCAATTTTTCAATTTTGTATTTTTATATTCACTTTGTCGTCTTGATTTTTATATTCACTTTGTCGGTATTGACTTTGTCGTCTTCGTAAAGGAGATATTACTACAACGAGTCGTCTCCGGTATGAACATGTGCATATACTCTTACTCAGCGTAAAATTTTGCGTTTATTTATATATGTCCGCCCGCGCGTCCGACAACAATAACTCAAAAACGGATAATGCAATCGACATAAAAATTTGGAAAAATAATAAAGCTAGGTTTCATTCAAAAATAATAAAGCTAGAATTCATTAAACTTAGCAGTTGTGCGGTCAGACATATCCGTGAAGTTTTTACAGAGTGGTTTAACAAGTTCGAGTAATTGGTATACAACAATCAAAGCCAATTCTAGATATTTCGAAAACAAATTTTTAAACTCAAAAATTCTCAATGTGCAGAACATAATTAGATCTGTTTATATCGACTGAAACGTTTTTACTTGTTTTAATTGTCTTTATCCTGAAAATTTCGGATGAAATTTTTGTAATCTGAATTTTTTTCGTCTTTAAAATTATTTTTTCATTCCATTTATTTTACAATTTCATCTTGCAATTATAACATTTCCTTACAACTTCAGTTCATGGTTCATATCAACAATCACATTGAAGAAACTGTAACGGCAAATGCAGAAACATTACCCCTAAAAGGAACGGTTAAAATTGAATCAATGAAATTGGTCGAAGACCTGATTTTTGGAGCACACCCACTTTTAAATCTGATAAAATATCATGTCGAACTGTATCGAGGGCTTTCATGATATCTACAAATAAAGCGGAACAGACAGAATTGTTATTGAGTCATTATACAAGTCACCGCAGAATTTCAACAATGCCTGCTCAGTTGAAATGCCACCCCTAAAACGAAATTAAATATTGCTGAAGCAACCATATTTCCCTAAATAATAAACAAAACGACTTTTCATAGCCCTTTTAAAAATTTCAAGAGAAAATAGGTAAAAGTGAAATAGGCCTATAATTGTTAACGTCAAAAACATTTCCCTTTTTAAAAAATGGCAAAACCACTGCTGTTTACAGCTCATCAGGAAATATACCATAAAAAACACTAAAAATACACCGCTATTTACTTCAGGATATTATTCGACAAGACCTGCGAAAAATCGAATTTAGAGTTTGAATTTTTCAAACCACTTATTATTATAAGTAATTCAGAAAGAGAAATTTCATTAAAAATAAGTTTCTCTTTTAGAAGTAGAACCTAAAGAGTTTAAAAAACAAATATTGGGAAAATGATTCAAATCCGACGTAATTTCATTTGGAATACTAGCATCATTTGCGAAAACATTATTTATTTCCAAAGTAATATTAGAGTCATAACTATTGTTGTTTAAGATATCTTTAACAATTCTTCATTCAGCCCTACTGCTGAGTATAACTCAGTTTAGTAGTATAAGAATTATTCTTACATGTTAATGGAATCGCATAACTCTTTATAACAATTTCTAAATCTTACATTATCCTTATGCTTCTTAAAAGTTAACCTTAATTTATTCCACCTATTTATTAGAGCTAATGAAGAATCAGACATCCATGGCTTTAATTTCTTATTGCATTTATTAAACCTAATCGGTTGCGAAGAAGTTCCTAGATGCGAACATACAATTTCGAAGAAATTTGCATTAGCATCAGATGGATTATCAAAAGAATAAACATCACACCATAACTCATTTAGTAATAAGTCCCTTAATTTCTTAAAATCAGTTTAGGAATATAAAGTACATTATTTTTAACATTAGTAACAACATCGACTAAAATAATCAGTGACTCTATGAGAGTGATCTGTTAACATTAAATGAAGAACTTCACTTTCATAACGTATATTATTCAAACAAGCAAATATATGATCCAAACAAGTATTTGAAGCAAGACGGGTTGGCTCACATATAAGAGATTCCAACCCAATAGATGACGTCAATAACAAATAAAAATCTGATGTAATCCTCACACAATCGACCGCAATGTGTATTGTCCAGTTAAGTGAAAGTGGTACAGAAGATTAAGAAAATGCTTTTTAAACACTTCTTTATAATTTTAAGGACACTTAATATTAAATAAGCTTTAAAATTAAATAAGCTTTTAATTAGCATACCTAGAAAAATGTGAATTTGGCTCTAAGTAGATTTCCATTCTGTGTTACTCGAATCCCCTGAAATGCTCGTCAGTAACTTCTGGTACCAACCAGAAATCAAATATTCAATTTTAAGAAATTCCATCAATTCGTTCTGTAGATATGGCAAAAAAAGGTAAATCGGCCGCCAAATCAGTTTCTTTCCAAAAAATTTATAGATTCATTGTCTTAACACCTCGAATTTAAATATTAAATTTCAATGAAATCAGTTGATTATTTTTCGTTATATACGCAAAAATGTATATTTGTTCCGTAGTAAACGTCCAGGTGCTGACACCTGATGTCTTCCAAAATTTAGTAGGTATGGGTACGGTCGAATGGAGCTTATATATGAAATTTTAAGTAAATTTGAATATTTTCTTCATAATGATTAAAAAATTGCCTTGATTGTATAAAATATGTAAAAAACAAAGAATGTTAAACACGTTCAAGATTATCTAGATCATAAAAACCAATTATCTGAATTCTACTAGCACCTTCAACTTTTTTTAAATAAATTTTAGAATTTGTAACCCACAAATATTTGAAATTCTTATTTTTACAAATCTGACGAGCTTTATTGAAAAGAACTCTATAATATGTTGAAAGAGATTCATTAATGTATAGATGTTCTTCTTGAATTGCTTCCCAAAAATTTCCGCAGGCAGCTTTCTATCCTTCCATTTAAAATTATTGAAGATAGTTTTCTTCTTTTCAAATGAAAAAAGTTTTGTACAAACTATACTCGCATTATTTTTAAAGATTTTTCGATATTTGATTATTCGCCACATTATTATTATTTTTTATATAAAAAGATTTTATATCACTTTCTTGTATATTAAATTTAGGATTTCTCACAAAAAGTGAAACAACTTTTTGTTTAACGTTTACATTATTTATTTCTGGTGCACCAACAATGTCTAAACATTTTTTTAACCTGTTTTGTTCCATCCGATTAATTTGATGGTTTTGACTTGGCAAAATTTAAAAAAGTTTTTATAGTAAGAAAGATATAGCTCAAAATCCATTTATGTATATGTCAAGATTTTCGTTAAACTTAGTTAAAATTCCATGTGACTGGAAAACTCTTGAGGTTTGTCACCCACGCCAGAATAAAAGTTTTATCCATTTTTGATCCTCTAAACAATGGTACACGTTTTTACATACTTCTCTGAATCACTCTGAATATAAAATAATGGAATCTAAATAAAAAAGTTTCATTTATTTTTGAAGGGTTAAAATTAATAAAAATACCGTAACTTAAATGCAGTTAAATAAGTTTAAAAAGGTTTTGATACAGTTTAGCTGTGGTATGGAACTTTTTAAAATTCTATATCGTAAAAAGAACATTGAAGTTGTTGATACCTAATGGAACAGCTTTCAAAAGATTATGACAATGACATAGAATTCTCTTCATTTTCCGCCCTTTATTAACTAATAAAAGTTTGCGCTCAAGAACCAATTTTTTATTTCTAAAAAATTTAATATAGAAACCAAATAGCAAAAGAACAAATCACAAAAACTTACTCTTTTTGTTCTTCTTCCTCCATTTTGAAATTTTCACCAATTGTTATGAATGAGTTAATTTTAATTTTTTATATAAAACACATAAAATGACGTTTCGTCGGTATATAAAATCATTTGCTGGTATATAAATCAGTCCCAGAGTTTAAGAAAAATTAAGTTTTACCAAAATAAAAACTAAAAAATATATTTTGTTGCTAAAACTTGCGCTAACTTTCGCGACTTCCAAAATCGAGTACAATTTACAAATAGTTTTAATACAGTTTAAATACCGTTTTAGCACAGTTTTATCTCATCGAAAAGCTTTTGAAGCTGCTGCATTGCATTTTGGAATATCAACGTGACGATAAACAACATTATACAACATTATGTTATGTAACACCACATATGTTAATTATGTACGTTGAGTAATTTTTTAATTTGCTAGCAATAAATCTTTATTCCAAAAAATATTACTTTTGTATTTAAAATTTTTGAAATGAGTACCCGTGTAAATAAATAATTATAATAAAAAAATACTAAAAGATTTTCTAAAAAATTTAGTAATTCAATTTTAATAACTTCTTGCTCTTGCCTTTGTGTTTCCTGGAATTTCTTTGTTGTTTTATAAAATATTTTAAAATGATTTACGAAAACATTTTTCTCAAAAAAAAAGTTTAATAACTTGGAAATTGGTAATTCTGGTGATTTTTTCTATGACATGTTTCCAAAAGTAGTCTCAAATTTTTCCCTACACGCTCTGATTTTTACGTTTCGACTGTCTATTTGATACATTTTAGAATATACATTGTACATTTTACCTTTTCACTGCATTTTGGAAGTCAAGGTTTCATTAAAATATCAAAATTAGTTTCGATTAGTGTTTTTACATCTAACAAGTCCCAGTACTCATTTTTTTTACGAAATATTACGAATTTTTGGCTTCGTTCCTGTTTTTTTCTTTAAATGCCACTGATCGTGTCATATTTCTTATTATTTTTTCCTTTTTTTACGTAAAAAAGAGTTTAGTATTTTAAAAAATCATGATATTATACACATTAATGTCTTTTAATGTCTTTATATCTAACAAGTCCCAATGCTCAGAGAGAAACTTGAAAGCACGACCTTATTTGATATGGGTTTTTTTAAATCGAAGTGGCTATTTTTTGAGAAGAAATATTAAAATAAATTCACACTTATTATAAAGCAGGTAAAATTTAGAAAATATATTTGAAAAATCAAAAAAATATATTAATATTTTCATTGATAATTATTTTAAAATTTAAAAAAAAAAGCGGAAAAACAACAAGCACATCCTTCGCCTTCAACGTTTTATATGTTACATTTCATTATTTTTAAAAAAAACAGGTTTTTTTCTCATAGGGTAAGTTAACGCAAGATATGGGAAGTACCTGTGGTGTCAAGTTGAAAATATAATTAATGAAAAGATAATTATTAAATATTGATATAAATACATAGTAAAGAAAAAATTTGAAGAGGGAATTAGAAAATAATATCTAAAATACAATCAAATATTATTTGTTAAATACAAATTTTATATAAACTTCAAAATTTTACTTCTATTTTTATTTGAAAAAATATTAAAAACTTACTATCATTTATATCAATTACCTAAGAAAAAAAAATTAAAAATGTTTGGAAAAAACAATTATATATTTTTATGACCGGATTTGAATATTTTTTTATTTTTGAAATAAATGGTATTTTACCAAATGACTCAAAAATTCCGACTGTAAAATAACAGGTATTTTAAAATTTTTGTTCTTTATGTAATATTCTTTCAGTTTAGAATTAAGATAGGTCATACAAACACATGAAGGGACATTTTATAAATAGATTGCTCTTGTTTACCTGCTAATAAAATATGAAAAAAGAGCACAGCAAAATTTTTGAAGAACTCAATATAACATGTTTGAAATAGTTTTGAAATAATTATTTAAAAAAAAATTTATTGGAAGTAGGTACATACATACATATTTATTTTTAATAACTTAAAAACTAACTGAAATTATTTGAAACAATTTTATAAGTAACGTATAAATAACCGAAATGAGATAATTAAAATTGTTGAAATGTGTCAACCTATATTACTTTTAATAACATTTTTGTTAGCACACACTACTCAACTTACCTTATTGGGAAATACAAAATGTGCATAAAAAATCATACATCCTTCCTCATTAACATTTGAAACCATACTGAAATATGAATTTGAAATTTTTTTTCATTTTTTCTTTCCTCCTACCTTTCTTTCTTTTTCGTGCAATAAAATTTAAATGGGAAGCTTTTTGAAAAACGTATACACAAAAAAATGTGTATCCTGAGATTTTTTAAAATATTAAACTCTTTTTTACTTAAAAAATAAGAAAAAAATAAAAAAAAATATGACACGATCAGTGGCATTTAAAGAAAAAACCAGCAACGAAGCCAAAAATTCGTAATATTTCGTAAAAAAAATTGAGTATTGGGACTTGTTAGATATAAAGACATTATCTCATCAATCAGTAAATAAGACAGAAAAGTTGAAACCACTTTTAAAAAGTTTATAAATACATAGATGAACAACGTCAGATTTGAAAATCTTTGTCAACCAAGAAAAGCATATGTTTGTTAAAGCTAACATTTTAAAAGTTTTTAAAACACCAAATTTTATTTTACAAAACTTGAACTAACTTTAATAAAAGATAAAAACGTAATCATTTTGCCTTATTTTGTTCAAAAAGTATAATTCCAGACATGTTACATTTATTTTTAGCAAACAAATTTCTTCAAACAATGATCTAAATCTAAAAACAATTCAATTATTCATGGGCGTTATTTTCTTCAAAAAAATTTGTTTTATTTTAATAAAATTTAATTTCTCAACGGGTACGAAAACTCGCTAAACCCGTTTAATTCTATAACTCGCTTAATTCTGTCTCATTTTGTTTTAAAATATTTAGACATAATATGCAATATGTATACTAAAAACGAGTATAATGTAAAGAAATTTAATTTCAAACTTTAAACTCGATTTACTTGAAATATAAAATGGATCACATGGATCACATCAAAAGTGGACCGACGAATTGTTATTCGCTAGCATCTTGTTGGTTGTTTGTTTAATGGTAATTTAGTGTCCGTGATTTGGATTGCTAACTAACCATTTTCAAGCGTTCTCTAGAACTAGGAATCTTTTATTTTCAGAGATCCTGAATTGAAATTTTCGAACTATTAGTAACTGTCGAGATTGTAAGAAATGAAGGAGTTAAGAAAGTGTAGTTTGCCAACCTTTATTTTGTAAATGAGTTTTTAATATTTCAGTGAACTTTCGTTTTCATTCAATTTTATAGCGTGTAATATTTTGTATGTCAATTTCTGTATTTCTGCGAGGATTTTTAACATTAGTATACCCATCTTAATACTGGTGGTAAAGCGATTTCTTATTAATAAGTTAAAAATATTATGTACAATGTATGTATGTGGTGCTATGCAATAACAAGTTTAGGAACCCTTGCGACATTCCTGTCAGGTTTAAGTATTCTATATTTAATCGCATTATAGAGATATCTCTCATATGGGAGCTATAGCAATAACGATATTTGATGATATTATTGAAAATTTCATTAATTTGTTTCTGAATTTATTTCTATTAAATTGATGTATAAAAAAATTTAGATTTATTTTGCATAATTTAAACGTAAATGAATATTATTACTCTATTACTGCTGTATTTCGGATCAAAACAAACATGCGTTCCACATTTACTTCAAATTGTTAAATTGACCTATAATGTTTTACTCTTATTTTCTGAGTTATTTCGACCATTCTTATTGTCAATTCGACTTGAATTATCATTATTTGTTTGTCCTTCTGGCTTTTTACTACTACTTTCATTTGGTTGACTCTCAGCCTTTGAAGGATCGTTTGATTCACGATCATGTAAATAACTGCCACTTAAAGGTCGACCTCTGCTACCATAGGGAGAGCTAAAAGAGGAAAAATAAGTGACCTATTTCAATGTTATGTTATGTTCGTATAGTTTCAGATACTAAAATGTAATATGAATTGTGTTACAAGATTAATTAAAAAGGTGGTAATAACGGTTATGTGCATATTTACATAATTATGTTTGTGTTAATATTAATTGAAATTAAAATAACATCGTTATAGCAGTCATATAAAAGTTTTTGGAAAAAATTTCACTGAGATTATGTATGCAACTTACCTCATAATATCTTTATCTCTATCAATTTGATTATAACCTATATTATTATTACTTTTATCTCTATCATTAGAATAACTCCAACCACCAGCGTATCCATCGTTACTATTTGGTGATTGTTGATTACTATGTGATTGTGGTCTTTTATATTCGTAATCACGACTAGGCTGCCCAGATGTGATGTTAACGTTTGAACCTTCCTGCAATGGATGCGGTGGTGGTTGATCGTTATTTGGTAAATAATGGGAACCACCATGAGGTAACGGTGAACTACTATCCCGTCTATCATTGTATGTTCGATCAGCAAACCAGTACCCACGGCCAGAAGAAGTATCAATTGCCGATTGTCCTCTGATTTGTTTTCATATTTTGTTTTTTTCGTTATTAAAAGAGTTCATAGAAGATCGTACATCAGATGTTTTTCATTTTTGTGTGTTTTTATGTTCCAAAACAATTTGTTCAAATTGATTAATATGATTCAACCACCATTTGCATTAGTATGTATGTATAATTAGAGTTTAATTTATTTTCGTGCATAATTTTCCGTGTTTTTTTAGAACCAGTTTTTGTTCCCAATATTATTATTTATATGGTCATGTAAGAAAATGTTTTGATGAATATTTTAATTATATGTTTTATATAAAGTTTGCCAATGTTGAGAATATTAAAGTCATATATATAATGTGTGTTAATTTATAGTATTTTTTAATTTTTTTCATTAATTTACAATTGTTGAAAAAGTTGGTTAATAAATAATAGGCAATGAAAAAAGATTGTAAAATCTTAATTAACTAAAATTTAATGAAAACAATAACAAAGGCAAAAATATTTAGCAGTATATTACCTATAATCATCATATGGTCTATAACTAACTCTGTATCCACCATCATACCCACCAAAACTAGATGGCGGATATCGATCATCACGTTCAAGATATCTGTTGTCGTAACGATCATAATATCGATCTACGAAAAAATTCAATTTAAAGTGATCTGCAAATTAATTTTCTTATTTAATTTTATTTTACCTCTGCCGTAACCATTGTTGCGATCATCATATTCACGAGGGCGATCATATCTATCATAGGTCCGTGACGGGTAGTAACGATCACGATCGTATCGATTAGAGTTATATCTTTCATATTTATCATAAGTTCTAAAATAATAATGGTCGTCATAATATCTGAATTTTTATAATATCTGGTTTTTAAAAACATTGAAAATAAAGTATTTAAAAAATATTATCTGGATTGTAAAATATTCGAATTATTGTAAATGAAATCAATTATATCATTAGAGAAGATATTATTCATATATACAACAAGACAGAAAGAATGACAGTAAATTTCACTTTCATCCAATTTTATTTATGTTTGTGTTAAAAAGAGTTCAAAATATTGTTTTACCAAGTAAAACAATGTTTTTTAATCCATTTTATTAAAATATTTAAAATAAAATAAAATGGTGCTATTCAAAATAAATGCAATATTATTTCTGTAAAAACATTTTCCATTAAACTATTCAAATAAGCTATTTGCAAGTAATTTCAATTTTATTTTAAAATTGTACTTAAATGAAAAAAATTATCTATTCAATGCTTTTATTTAAAATAAAATTACTATTGTTTATAAACTCATTGCTGATTCAGAAGCTTTAAGAAAATGATACTTTTTCCTTAAATAACACTATATTTTAAACAATTTATTTAAAAAGAAAATTGTGTTTACTTCTCACATATACATGCTACTCACATTTCTCAAAAAACTATCCTCACTTCATTAGATTTCTAATTTCCATAAATAGTTTTGATGCCACTTTATTTATGAAATATTGTCTAATACTCACCTATCATTATAACGGTATCGGTCGCTATTGTAGTAATCATTTCTCTGTTGATGTCGATCGGAGTATCGATCATCATAATATCTAGCCCGATCGTCGTATCGTTCATATGATCCTGTATACCAGTTGCTATTTCTATCGTCGCCATAATTACTGCTATAGCTACGACTAGATGGGTTATAATGACCTCGCCCATCATCATAGTAACGAGAATACCTATACGATTACACTTTTATTAGCAAACTATTCTAAAATGACAGTATGAAAAAAAATCGATATTAGCTTAGCTTATACTTACCCTTCCTCATAACACCTATAACATCTGGCTTGGCGGGTATTACGATATATAGAACCTAATACTGATATGCCTGATATGTTCGGATGACCGGCATTCTTATTTTGAATGGATTTAGTATTCTTGTTTTCATTTTGTATTTCTGCTCCAAATATGATCGTGCACAAGATTTGTAATATGACAATACTGGCTGGAAACTATAAAACAATTTAATAAATACAAGAGTCACATAAAAAGTTAATAGCAAAATCGTAATAATAACACAAATTAAGGAATTCGGTTTTTAAAAAATTATTTTTTTAAAAAACAATGTACCAACTGATTAAATTACTTTAATAGAAAACAATTTGATAAAAAAGTTCAAAGAATAAACGATCACGATCGTTGTTATATATAATTTAAGCTTTTTATCTGAAAGGGTTAGCAGGTTAACGTACGATTTTTTAAAGAAATAATAACACAAATCTAAAATGTACTTAGATGTAAGATGTCTAAATACATGTATAGATATATATGTACATATGTATGTATGTGTCAAAAATAATTATGGGACGCACAATGACATCCAAAATTTGACACACAAAAACACAAATTTCCTGCTGCAATACATACATATGTATGTATATACTAAGAAAACAGAAAACATACCAGAGATAACACGGAAAATTAATTATAAATGAGGAGGTTCAACGGGAAAGTTGGAACAACACTTCAAAAATAAAAGATATATAACGTGAAGCGACGGATACATATCAGCGAAGAAATACAAGATATCAACTTAACAAGATAAAGAATATATGAAGATCCTCCTAGTATAAGTTATAAAAGCAACCCTAAAAAATCTGGCAAAACACGGCCATAGGTAGTCACGGACGGCATAACAGTTGAACTATTAGGTGAACGACCAAGCTGTTAGAAGAACAGTATGGATTTTGACCACATTGGAGTTGCGTCGATATTTACCAAGTATATAGGCTACTCGAGCAATGAAAGCTTCCCAGATTTGTGTGGCTCTAAATAAATGGGAAACTATTTATTTGGAAGCACACGTATATCAAAACCAAGACGATGGGATGGATAAATAATAGCACAGCGATTCTAGAACTCAATGATCAGCAGATAGAATTCATCTAGATGAAAGTTTTCATCAATAAATCAGAAAGAATAATATGCCGAATATTCTGGTCGAAAACTATGAATTACTAATCACAATGAACATGTCCAATATAGAGTAAGTGAAGTGATCGTGGACCACCTATTTTGTTTTGGAAGTTTCCTCCGTTATCTTAAATCTTTATAAACCAGACAAGAGCCAAAATTAAGGAATATTTCATTACTATTTAAAATGCAAAATTTAAACCTTCAACTTAAATTAACACTTTTGTTGCAAATTCTTTCTCAGTGCAAAAAGTCAAATTTGCAAAGTTTTGAAAATGGGTGAGAAATCTAGACCACGTGTGAGGTAAAAGTCGACCACGGTGCATTTAACAGGAATAACAAAAATATAATTTATCAAATAGTTGATTTTATTCCAAAAAATTTATGTCAAATTTAAAATAACGAATTCAGTTCACTTGTAATAGATATCGAATAGAACTTGACATAATGTAATTTTTAGTTTTCCAATTGTCTAACTGTTCATTTATACAATTTTTTTTTACATGTTTACATTACCTTATATGCAATTGCATGCAATATACATTACGTCCTACTGCTGCATAATGCATATTGCATACAAGTAACATGCAAAATGTACTACTGCTGCATGTATATATATAATGGAATAGAAATGAAACAATTGCAAAACTAAACAATGCATCCCAACAAGCCCTCATTTATGTCTACTCGTTAAACTAAAAAAACATTACTGCAAACTAACACGGATTTCCCAAAGCTTCCTAGATGGAGATTCAAAAGCATTCCAAAGCATTGAAGACAAGAAATGCACTCGACCGAAAAAACATTATCCTCAAATTTATAAAAACATAATTCGCAAATGGTTTCAGGTAAAGGTGTGAAAATAAAGGTGGAATCATCACCATATTCTGATTCAGGGATTTAGATGTCAAAAGTTTGATGGCTTTCGGTGTTTTTTATTCAAATTTATTTGTTAGAGTATTTATAGTGTATTTATTTGTTAGAGTATTTATAATGTTAACTGGTAATGTGGAACACGTGCCAAAATACCTGAAGTATAGTGTTCCACAAAGCCCGCAATTTTTCATCTTTAAAAAAAACATAAATTTTGTAATCAAAATAAATACTCACATAAAACTTTTCTAAACAGAATTTTTGTGCAATAAAAAACACTTTTTTACTCAGAAACCGGTATTACCGTGACTGTACACAAAACTAAAAAAAAAAACAAACAAATGCCGTCATTAAGTATTTATAATACTTTTTACAAAAACACTTCACCCACCGAAAATTACAGCAATACTGATATCTGAGCAATAATTTTTTTTATTATGTCATACTGCCCAAAATAGATGCGTCCTCTTCATAAAAACAAGTATCGTGACTCTTCATAAAAAATGACAATTCAAAACTTAACGATCTTATCTACTCTTCTGACGCGTTCATTTCAAATGAAAAGAAGAGAAACTTTGATTAATAACGAACAAGAAGTCTATCTAGAAACAGATTATAAGGAGAAAGTGAAGGTTTTTTTGACATACTATAAGAAAACCCGTAAACGACATTACTAGAATGAGTTGAGGGTGGAATCCACAAGTTTCAAGAAGACGCTCGTGAAATGCTTGGCATAGATCTGTAAGAATTTAGCTAAGAAACTCAGACTTGTGATGACATCGAGTTAAGTGAATAGATAAGAATAGAAAAATACGGAGATAGCTAGTTGAAGCTCTATGCTCTCAATTGGAGTAAGGAAAAAATAAAAAAGGTAAAGTTTCATCTTACAAAGTTTGGCTAAAATAATTTACCATGCTGGACATAACAAGTGTAAATAAAACGTAAAATATAAAAAATAAATCTAATGTTTAAATCAGCAAATTACCAAATGTTTTAACATTAATTTTTAACTCTCAAAAAGATTTAACTAGATTAAAATCTAAAAGAAATATATAAAAAAAATAGAATTTGGGTTGTTTCAAATTTTATTTTTGAAGAAATTATTTTCTAAGAATAATTTTTTTAAAAATAAATGCTTTAGAATTCGTATCAAATATTATTCCACAATTTAACAAATTAATTCATACTTACAATAATTGCTTTTTTTTTATCTTTAAGTTCTCACATTGTACTATTATTTATAAGTATATTTAACTACCATGTAAGAAAAGTAAAAAACTTAATAACTTTATATTAAAATTATAATTTAGTTTATATTTTTAAATTATGTTTTGTTCTTAGAAACATTTCGCAAAATTTTTGAAAAAAAATCTGCTTAATTGTTTTAAGTTGTGTGTCGGTTCTTACATCAATTGCTGTTTAAAGTACAGCACTGAAATTTTATTGACAAATTGATCTTGATGAAATCAATTCTTCCTAACATAAAAAGCCAATGTACTCCTCTCTAAAAGACAAACCAAAAACCAATTACGAATGATGAAGACTTATTTCTATAGTAAAATTCTATAAGCAAATGACAGATTGTCAAATTGATTTTCACTACAATGTCTAAATTTTTTTAATAATTTACGTTATTGTGTTCTCTTATCAAAAGTGTACCGAGTGACCGAACTAAAAATTCAATTTACAAGTTGACAGGATTATATGGTAATAAGGAAATTATTTTGATAAACCAACGTCTTAATATACATACATATTTCAAATTAGAATATTTATTGAATAATATTGCTAGATATATACACATATGAATATAAATAAAGACTGAAAATTGTTAGAGGAAAATGTTCTATTTTATACATACCATTTGTTTCTCGCAGTACTTCCTTTATATACATACATATATATTTGATTTACTATACTTAAATTTATTTTCAATGTCCTTGAAAAGCTTTACAAGAAAAGAATTGTCAAGAATTTTTTTTCGGCAGATCGTTATTTTATTAACGGTTTATGGATATTCACTTCAGTTAGTTTCTTTTAAAACTTATGAACAATAAAAAATTGTAGTAATAATCTTATATTAGTTTAACAAAATAGAAGAAATATTGAAACAAATAATGAAATTCATTACAAATTGAACTTTATTTTACTTTATTATAATTTCGTATAATGAAAAAGGCATATTGGTATATGAGTGTGGTTTCCTAGTAAATAAAATTATAGATGTATGTATTTATACAACCCAAAGTATGTTTTTGAATGAGGTTTATATTTTGTTAATATAGGTTTATATATAGTTAATATACAAACTTTTACTTGTAAAATATTATTTTTTTTTAATTTAATTAATTCAATTTTATTTATATCAACAGTTCATAAAAGGAATTTTAAAATATGAGAAATTATTTCAATATATGATTATAACTACTATAAGTAGTTATTTATAACTACTTGAATATTTTAATTACATCACTCACCAGCAAAAGTTCTTTTAAACTAACTCTAAATTCTTTTAACTTAACTCTTTTACAATGTAGTTACTTATTTATAAGGTAAGCAGAGAAGAAAAGATTAAACTGAAATCATATTAATAGTTTACAAAATTCATTTTACCTAAGAAGAGAATAAAATTTTCCATATTATTAATACCTGAAAACCATTAATTCAGTTTTGAATAAATAACAAAATACGTAGAATAGGATTATAATGAATTTTTGGTATTCAATTTCACAAACTATTGCATTGACCATTTCTTGCAATAACTGTTATACAAATTGAATAATAATTTTCATTAACCCACACAAATACCAACATGTACGCAAATCAAGCACAACTGAGTTTAATAATAAAACAACATTGAAAAATGTTATTATTGAATTTTTTTGTTTAAGTGCTAAATAGCTTTTGTAAAACATTTGCACAATATCACATTTCTCGTTAATTTTTAAAATCACATTATGCTTGCTTTTATGCTCACCCTTCTTAAAATATAAAATAGGCAATAAATAATTTTTATATTCTAGCATGCTGTGCGAACCATATTTAGTAATTTATTTATAAGATAACTATCCGATTGTACACAATATTAAATAACCACAGTCTTTTTGTTATATTGAATCTGCTTCAATTAAAGCAAACCAGCAACAATTAAAGCAGTTTTATTACG